GTTATCGAATACTTATTTTAAAAGCTTCAAAAATTAAAAATAAAGTGACTATTTTTTTCATATCGGTTAGAAATTTGTTAAGAATTCATTGTTTATAATATTTGATATGAAAAATTAAAAGTAATGCTTAAGTGACCTTTATCAATGCCAAATTTTTGAAGAAAAAGATGGTTTGTAGTTCATTAATCTGTTCATCGCAATTTATTCAATTTCTGACTATTAACAATTTGCCTCTGATCTATTGAGTGAGGTGCTTAAGAACACTCTAAGGCGTTTAAGAACGCTCTTTGTCATTGACAGAAATCACTGCAGAAAATCTTATAATACGATGGTAATCTATTGTATACTAAAAAAAAAAAAAAAAAAAAAATTAATAAATAATAGTCAAGTACGGCAAATATTTTATGTGGTCTTTTAATACGTCACCAGTATCACTTTCGCCACCATGTAGTTGGTCCTTGAACAATAATAGATAACATATAAGAACCAAGGTAAATTGTTACACCATAAGATTCAGTAGTCCTTAATAAGCGGTAACAACTTTATGTTTTGCTAGATATACCTAAAAATTAGTCATGTCTTACGTATAAGACAAACAGTTTCCCTTGCAATATCTAATTCCAACAAACAAAATACCAAAATGCTAACCTTTCTTTTTTAATAAATTCAAAACAAGTGGTCATTATCTCGTTGTCTCGTCATCTCTGGCAAAAATAGTTTTTAAAAAAAACGATCGTTATCTCCAATAAAAATACTTCATAAAAAAAGCCTGAAAATAAAACTAAATGAAAAAAAAATATAAAGTACAAAAAAAATGTAACAGAATAAAGAAAATAAAAAACCTAAAATAAAGTATGAAAACAACAAAATGTTAAAAAGCGAAGTAGATGTGTGAAAACTCAATGAAAAATAAAATGTGTTTAATAATTAAAAACAGATCGTGATAACTCAAAAATTCGAAGGGTGTGGCGACTTAGTGAAGTGGTTAAGTTGTTGCACCCCCAAGCAGTATGTTGGCCAGATAGGAGTTCAAAACCCACTAGTGACGAATTTCAAAAATTTTACTTGTATTATGGCTACTGTCTTTTGATGATCAGTTGGAACAGGATCTCTGTAACCTTGGTAGCACCAACAAGATTGGGAGATCATGAAGATACTCGTGTGATGTATGAGTTATACAAAAAGTTTCAGATCGTTGTAACCCAAGAAACCAGAAAGATGGATGCCCGCTTAGTAAGACCCGAGTAGAGAGATAATACAGATCTTTGACAGTATTATGTAAAGAATTATCACTAGAGAACTAGCAAAAACTGAATGGGACCGGTGTATAGCAAGGCACTCCACCAACCAGGCCACTGAAACTGAGTCTGTCAGAACTAGAGGAAAAGGATCTGCTTAGTTGCAGATACCAGGGGAAAAAATCCCTTCTAGGCTATCTGGATTGGTAGTTTGAAATAGTTGAAGATATGGTTGTTGGTCTGTAAAGTGGGTACTGGGGTTTGGGTGAACTCTACAAGGGGGTAGTAGGTAACTGATAACAGCCGGCACCAACTCACAAGTACTTGTCCTCAGACTCAGCGTAAAGTTACTGAATCTAGGTGAATTTGAATTGTGGGTTTGAACCACTCTAGTGTCAATCTCTCGAGGATAAAGTAATCCTAAGGAAATGGATAAAGCATCTAGGACTTCTTGACTGACGAATTGTAACGGAGATGTCCTAGTGACACAGGTTTAGTTACATTACAGAGGGTTTAAATAGGTAACACCTGTAGTTGGGTTACAGGTACAGCATCTAGTATAGAACCTGTATGGTGTATAGGCGGACTACTTAAAATAGACACCAAAAGTGTACGTGTGGCTAGTATGTACTCTCTAATGTAGGGGTTCCCTTGTGAATCCTTTGCTATATACATCTGAATAAAAATCCTAGCTCCCAAGAGGGTAGACGTTAAAAAAAAAAAAAAAAAAAAACTCGAAAATTCGATTGTTTTGATTTTTGCTACCTAAAATAGAAACACGTTACACAATTCAGATGGTCGTATGCTGTATTTTAACAATATCCGTTGAATTTCTTTGAATCCAACAACTTTTATATAACAAGTCCCTCCACACAGAGTAATTACGGAACACTAAACTACAAGTTCTGAACGTCGATAAAAACCAGTGAAAAGTTAAAAGCAACCATTCGATAAGGGTAACGTACATTAAAGTGTTAGTATACATCATTTATTCAAACGCTTCATGAACAAATCTTTTAAAAGCTCAAAACAAAATATGGGGCTTTGCGGAAACTACCATAGAAAATATTAATACTATGAAAACAGATACTGTTAGATATCCGGTGCGTAGTTAAAAATTAAATATATTGGTTGATATGTTGATTAAGATTATACACAAAATTTGGTCTATTATTCCCCCATAATATCCTTAGCTATGCTCCGGATAATAAATGCTTAGATACTTTGTAAAAATATTAACCTGACTTGGTGTTTATAAAAATCAACTTCGATTATAAAAAGAAGATACTTGAATTAGAAATCACAGTTACTGTTTGAATCTTGAGTCGACTGTAATATGTGTATTTTTTTTATTATTTTGAAACTCATGAAGCATTGAACGTTCCTCCTGTTCTGATTGCTAGCCACTCGAAATAGGCTTATAAAATTGTAATCTTAAAATTCATAGCCTGAGTTTGGGATTTACAACCATCGTAATCCTGGCTAACATTAATTTTTAAATTTTTTTTGGCCGGAATTTTCAGATCGTAATGCCATATAATCACAGGCGGAATTGGCATTTTATCACCACCGTTCTGTATCATGTGATTATAAATCTGATCACGTGAATTGGTATGCTGATTGGCTACAAAATCTAGCGGCTGCCCTTTAAAAATTTTGTATAGCAGCCTATATATCAGATTCCAAGATTAGAAATTAAACATAAAAGTTACATCTGAATACAAAATTTTTGGTGTTCTTGTAGTAACTGTTGCATAATTCTTGGTTATACATAGAAGGGCATGTCCCGAGCACAATAAGGGGGCATGCCCAAATTCTTTCCCGTACCCCATAATTAACCATATTGACTCATCTGAGAGTTAAATTTCTTTTGTTAAGATTCTTCAATCACTGGTTCAAGCGGTCTGAAAAAGTGATTTTATGATTCGGATAACAAAGATTAAAAAATAAAGCTGCACTAGATTATACGTAATATAATGGTGGAGACCAAGATTTCATAATAAATACTTGCATCACATAATATTTATTATGTTTTATTTTCAATACATTTTTTATTAGTATTCATTAGACGATTTATTTCGTGCATAAGTATGTTTCCAGCCATCGCGACATTCAACGAATTTACATTATTTAACATAGGAATCGATACACGTATAATATCTTGACCTGCATCCCGATAAGTAACACCGTGCATCTTACTGCCTAACACAAGTGCAATACGCGAAGATGGTATCTCATTATAAATTTCTTGTGTGGTCGGATTCCAAAAACAGATATTGTTCTGACTTTGGATCAATTTATTTTGTGGCATAGTGTCTGCTATGACCAATGTTAAATCATGTTCCTTTGTCAGTGCGTACAAGTCATGCCAAAATCCAGTTTTTGACGGCCACGTTACAGATGTACAGCGAGATGTTCGAATTACTTGTTCATCAAAAAGATCAATGGTACCAGCTATAAAAAAGCTGGCATCCCAACGCAAGGCATTAGCAGCACGAATTAGCATTCCCACATTTACAGCATCAATTACATGATCCAATACCAATAACTTTGAAATATTTTGTGGGAATGAAATATTTGGTGCTGGAAGTTCAGCCCATATTTCTCTATTATTAACGCGTGCTTCCCCACCGAGTATTTTGCGTGCCCATTCGACACTCGTTACGTAATAACGATCTGCCGGGAATTGATTAATGTTTTTAAAAACCTCTCCAGATGAGCCAGAAATTTCATCAACAGATTTTATATCTTCTGGTGCTGTAATTCCAATACTCTTT